CATTTATAAATCCAGATATTTTTTTAAAGAAAATGCATAGTTTTTACAGGTAAATAAAAGTACAGGTAAATGAAGTTACATGTGTCTTATAACCTATCACCTGGCATTGCTAGGTGTGAAAATTTAATTACTAAAACAACAGCCCCCAATAAATGATGACAAAACATGGGTTGAAAGTAATATAAGTGATATTTGAAGACGCCCTTAAACAATAAAATAGTTCCCGTCTACTAGTATTCAACTGTGAGACAAAAATCATCTTCCTGCAGGAAATGGAAGGTATGAAGGACCTCTTATGGCTTCTGTAATTTATGGTTTAAACCAAAAAATATATAATGTGGTATAAATTTAACCTTTATATAATCAATTTTTACATACACATAGTACAACAACCTTGACCTTAAGCACAAAAATGAAACCTAAAGACCCTATTTGGAACATTTATACAATATTAGAAGACAACAACAAAACCAGTGCAAAATGTAATAAATACAATGCTATAGTCAGTGCAAAAGCCTCCTGACGAGTTCCCTTTGCAGGGACGAAACAGTTTTTATCTTTTGTAACAGTAATTGACCAGGTAGAGAGTGGTTTTATAGTAATGTCCACTCAAAATTTCAATTGACCAGGATTTGCAAGTTTTTGCCAGTATTTCCCGGTATTTACCGGTATTTACCGCCGGCATTGTCAATACTAGTATTGACCGCTTTTTTGCCAACCTTGCTGTTACTTCAACATCGGTCCAAATTATAGAATGAACGATAAAATGTGTGGCCAGCAAACATAAATGGTATAATTGTTAAATTACGTTAACATTTTGATATAATATTCCATGTATTCATGAAGACTTTTCTTGATTAGCTTATTTCACTAAAACTAAAACCTAGCTCTTGATTTTTGAATCAGTACACAAAAATAAGTTGTACCGTGTTTGTAGCTCAATTAGCTTAAAAAAGATATTACGTTTCAAATAATTCTAAATAATCCCCCTATCACTCATGATGGAATCATTAACTCTGCTTTGAATGCTATGATATCCGGGATTAATTGCAATAACACATTGATTAAGAAGAAAAATGAACATCAGTGTATAGCTGACTAAGTATGTGGTATGGGTTTTACTCATTATTAAAGGCCGTACGGTGACCTATAGGTGTTAACTTTTATGTCATTTGGTTTCTGGTGGAGAGTTGTCTCATTGACAATTATACCACATCTTCTTATTTTATATCATGCAACAAATAAATATTTCAATTCCTTGTTCATAAATCAAGAATATAGTGAACAACTAAGGTTATATCTATCTCATGCAAAGTTTACCTTCATTCGGCTAATCTGTTTAGGTCCGTTTTTGGTCAAATAGTTCATAACGTTGCAGCGTATTTATTCATTAGATATAAGAAGATGTGGTATGAGTGCCAATGAGACAACTCTCCATCCAAGTCAAAATTTATAAAAGTAAACCATTATAGGTCAAAGTACGGTCTTCAACACGGAGCCTTGGCTCACACCGAACTGCAAGCTATAAAGGGCCCCAAAATTTGCTAGTGTAAATCTATTCAAACGGGAAAACCAACGGTCTAATCTATATAAAAAACAAGAAACGAGAAACACTTATGAACCACATCAACAAACGACAACTACTGAACATCAGATTCCTGACTTAGGACAGGTGCAAACAAATGCAGCGGGTTTAAAAGTTTTAATAGTACCAAACCTTGCTTATTTTCAACTGTTTTGGTTTGAGCTTTACAGATGAAGGTTAATCTAAAAAAGCGCTTCGGATGTACAAAATTTATGAAGGGTTTATCTCATTTGCAACAACTGACTTCATGCACAATTTTGAAGCAGTCAGTTCTTTACAACAAAAGTTTGACTTTAGAACTACTTTTTCTTTGGTATCTCGTGGATACTTCCTTTAATTTGTAAAAAATAAACCTTAAGTTTACTAACTTAGTCACTAGTTGTTCTTCTCGAGTACAAATCTGATTGATATCTTCAGTGATCGTTGTTGTTGTATTTTTACGATTTGTTTCTAAATATTACATTTTTATTTTCTGTTTTATACCAACTTTGATGTTTATGGATTATCTTGTCTTTGCGGATTTTGGTTCCAAAGAGACAGATAATGCGGTGTCTACAAAATAATAAAAACCGCAACCTTTTCTGTTCTTATCAACTTTTCTTACTTTATCCATTTCATGTTAAACACTGTGTAATTTGATTGTTTTTATCAGAAATCCGTTGGATTATCTAAAGTTTATTTCTTATTTCTATTTATTCTTAAATGTAGGGAAATTATTGCAACACTTTAGTTCACTACTATATTTAGGCATTAGAAAAATTACTGGAAGCAAAATATATGCATATAAATTTTCTTAAAATATGTATATGCTATTGTTCGGAGAGTATAGCCAATGAGTATGTGTTATTGTTCGGAAAGTATATCCAATCATAGCTTTATTTACTAAAATCAAGAAGATTATTGGTGATATTAAACACAAGTCTAAAGTGTTGATGTAAAAATGTAGAGTTAATTGTGTAATTAATTATGTTTCTTTTCCAACATCTAACCAAGGCGGTGATATCTGTGATAGTTGATAGAACGATAAATGTTTAGGAAACGGAGTCCAAATCTTATAGTTGATAAATAAAACCCCTCCCAACCTCCAAACTGGAATTAAACCTCATATTTAATAATTATTGAAAATTTGTTATCCTTTTTTTTTTTTCTTCTCATAGTAACAGTTTTCTCATTTTATAATTTGATACGATTTTACTACTTTAGTTTACATTTTAATTGCAATTATGGTTTCTCTGTCTGTTTTAGAAATGTCGAACGTCGAACGATCTATTCCTATGAATAACAGATAATGTTGCCAATACATTGATTTTATAAAACAAAAAGAAATTAAACCAATAATATTAAAAACGAAGGCATTATATTTATTCAGATGTGTTTGAAAGAAGTACAATCGACAGAATCTTAATTTGTGTAATAGAAAACCATTATAACTATACATGTAATATTATAATATTGTAATGATTGATTTTTGGTGTTTTAACGCCACTTTTAAGCACCGCCTTTGGGCTATTTAGTGGCGGCCAATTTTTATTGGTGGAGGAAGCCGGAGTGCCCGGAGAAAACCACCGACCTTCGGGAAAACTAACAATCATAGTCAATAAAGATTGGAGTCGAGTGCACCCGCACGAGCGGGGTTCTAACTCACTACCTCAGTGTTGACTGGCTAGTGATTACAGTAGCAACTACTTAGACCACTCGGCCACCGAGACCCCTAATATTGTAACATCTTTTCTTTAAACTGTATAATAGAAAAAACAAAGCATATGGGATATCCATCCACGACACAATATCAGAACATGCACAGTAAAAAACACACAAAAAGTAATAAACGCGCTGTTCTTCATCAAAAAGTCATAGTGAGGCCTTCAACACAGAGCAAAAAAAACTCTCACCTCACTGCAAATTTAAGTCGGCCTCTAGCACCGGCTTGAGCGGATTTTTTTTGCAAAATAATTTGGATAGACTTTAGAAGATGTAACACCACCAAATTGAGCCCTGTTAACCACAACATCGGGCCCGGTCTAAAAAGAACATACTGGTAAGTAGAACACATTTTAAACAAAATAATTCCTACAGATACGTGTAAATATTAAACTATGTAGAATATATTTTAGTAATTAAGGTATCAAAAAAAAGGTGAAGGACTGGTGAACCTTGTAGAACACATATTGACTGGTAATTTTGAATAATACAAAAATGTATGAATTAATTCTAAAATTTAGAGCATAAATTTCTCAGATAAGAAGTTCCTGGTTTGGTGTATCAAAAAGTCCGGTAACCAGTGTGGATGTATTGATAAGCATTATCAATAAAGCTGTTTAAGAGTGTATATTTAATTACTATAATGTCAAGGGGTGAAGGAAAAAAGTAGAATTACATTTTCCCGGCTTAAGTTGGCCTGTTTTGTACCCAAGGCAGGTGAGGGAAGTAAACTTTTGAGCACTGTGATTGGATGGAAGGGTAAAATATATTTGTCTATTTATGTATGAATAACTGCAGTGTGTATATTTACAGTATAAATTTTAAAACACACGGAAATAGTTTCTTGGGAATAATTTGAAAAGGCTTCCAAATTTTCATAAATCTGATGTAAAATGACGGTTGCCATGAATACTATAAACGAACTCCGTTCGAAGATGGTACTTCAATTTCAACAGAATAATAAAGTACTAATATCATACATAACTGTTTTTGTCCGGGTTTTTATTATAAAAAGTGGTAAATTTAGAAAATATTAGTATTTTTGCCTATGGAGAAAAAGTTACTGCCGTTTTCTCTGGTATTGTTACCGGAGATGATAATGATAATTGAGAAAAAACTCACAAATGTGATCCTTATCTGTGAATTCGTTCTTTGGGGGTGCGATTTATGTAGATAGTTAGAACCTAAGTAAATGAAGTATATTCATTCCTTTTTAAGGAGCAACACTTTGACGGATAACCTTGCTGTATACCTACGGTAATTGTACCGACGTTTATTAAAAGTCATTACTCCGAGTAAGAAGATATCATGTCGATAGTGGATTCTTGAAATATTATATAAATTTCTTAACCGAAAAAAAAGATAAAGAGACCTAAGAAAAACAGATTTTTAAAGTAAAAGATTTTGATACTGGTGTCATGTAACTGATAGGTGCTTCAAGCATCGTTTTCTAACAGAAAAATGTTCATTCACTAATTAAATCAAATTATTTTATAACCCTTACATAAACATTTACAATTAACATAAAAAATCAATTTCCTCAAAAAGTGTAATGGAATGTTTGAGGTAGGCCCAATATTCATATTGACGTATGAAGGAAACGCCAATAAAGGAAATACAATCATCCCATTTGTTAAACTGAACTTGATCTCATAACAATAAACAAATGTATGTTATGTCGTAAGAACGTCATATACTCATCGTAATTATTCTACCGTGACATCTATGATAAAAATAAGACCTTAACACAGAAAAGGCAGAATAAATAAATAATTTCAAGTATTGGTGTTAAAGTTGATGATATTTAGGATTACAAAATGAGGAACTATAGTTTATTTAACAGTGTTTTAAGTAAGTAATAATTATTAGATAATTATCATTTCTCTAGCGTGTCCATATCGTACAAATGTATTATAAATACAATGAAACAAAACAAAATATTTTTTAAAAGCAACACATTGACGGGTAACCTTGTTGTATACCAACGGTAATTGTATCGAGTTTTATCAAAAGCTATTACTTCGAGTGAATAGATATGTGTACAAAAATACTCTGTTTTTTCTTGTTTTAATGAACATATATTGTGTTGTCTTATAATCTTATCATCGAACAAAAGATACTACATTCTCTATGTTTTTATTTATATTTCAGTAATCGGAATGAATTTGTTCTACAACGATCCCCCCCAGAAAAAAAGTCAAACCAAACATCAAAACACACAAATTGTTATTTTTCAAAATTTCTAAACTTAAAAACGTTCAATCCCATCAAATATAGATACCAACATGATTTGTCTGAAAGTCGTACCTGAAGACCTTCTGAACACATCTTGCATTTATCCCAATTTATTAATTGATAACTAGGGAAAAAATCTGTAAGAAATCATTGAATAGACAGAGTACATATATAAGTATGTTTACTGATATATATATTTTTTATTTCAATCATATGCATATATATTTTTCAATTTTGATATGCATCCACAGTATATTTGTGTATTTCATAATGTGGTGTAGTAAATAAAAAAATATATTTAAAATGATCAGGAATATTACAAAGAAAATAGAAATACACGCACCTGATCGTACTTAATCATTATTACTTTCCGCGGGAAAATGTTATTGGCTGGTGTATTCTGTTTCCTTGTCATACGAAATGATGGATTAGTTAGCTTCAGGCGATGGCAATAAAGATCGTCACTTATTGTTCTATATTTGTAAAATTATTACGCTGACGTCTGTATTTCACTGACTGTTTGCGACACACTGAATAATGTTTATGATGTATGTTTCATTTGTAAATGATTTATTCGTTTTTTAACTAATGTATTTGCATATTACCATTCGTGGGACGGGGTTTGAAATTTAAGGTATTTCAAATCATATGCTTTAAATGGCTTTTTATTATTCTCAATTTTCTATAAAGTCAATATTATACTCTACTAAATGAAATAAACAAACATACAAGATGTACCTATAAAAAAATTTAACTTTGTATAAGACGGACAGACATTCAAGTGTTTTTATTACTTTAGGGAGCTACCATTTGATTTTTATGGGGGGGGGGGGGGGGGGGGGGGGGGGGGGGGGGGGGGCTGCATTTTTTTTTAGTTGTAATCTCTGTCCTGCCTTTTAATTTTTCACTATATTCGGTCCTGCCTTTTTTTATATTAGTTTATCCTGACTTTTTTTTACATAAATTGTCATCCTGCCTTTTGTGTTTTGCGAAGTTGCTCATCCTGTCTTTTTTTTTGCTCAAAACTCCTGTCCTGACTTTTCTTTCCAATTAAATCCTAGCCAAACCCCCCCCCCCCCCCCAACCCCACCCCCCTATAAAAATCAAATAGTAGCTCCCTTAGTTTCCTCACCAATTTCACCACGAAGTGGTTAGAGTTGAATTGATAATTGTCCCCGGTTTCGGGGGGGGGGGGGGGAGTGGGTGGATAGTTCGTATTGCTTGGTCTTTAGTTTTCTGTGTATATAGCATTTTGTTGACAGATGTTTGTCACTTTGCCATGGTTTTGTCGATTTTTCTTTGTCTAAGCTTTTGTATTGTCCCTTTGGCATCCATTAAACAAGCAAACAGATTTTTTTTCTTGTCGTCTGCAATGGTTTTCTACCTTTATCAAAGTAACACTTTCTGTTTGGGGAAAGAATAAATAATATCAATGCAATTGACGGATTTTCTTTTCTTCTGTTTTCCGGCACTCGCATTGAATTAAAAGTATACACTTAAAGAAAGGGAAATAACTCTGAAATGTCTGTGAACCTTAATATATTCCAAGCTTATAAGCTAAACAGATTATTTTGTTTTTTGTCAATGTTTAAAGGCGCCGATACAACTGATTATTAAAAGTTCATTTCTGATTTAGATTTATATCTCCTTCATCTAAGGTGTTTCATTTTATAAACTTATTCCAAGAGAACATTGAGTGTGTAAAGTTTGCAAAATTTCAGATGATGAGGAAGACTTTTTCCTTCATTGCCAAATCAGCAGTAATATCAGAAATCCCCATATAAATGCAATTAAAACCTATTATCCTAATTTTAACCAGCTTGACTCAAATTCTAAACATAAAACTATTTTAGATCCCAATAAAGATGTTTTGTCTAGTACTGTGGGCAATATAAAGCAATCCATGAAGTTGCGAAAATAATGTCCACATTGGTCAATTATCTATATACTTATATATTATTAATATTAACTTGACTTGTTTAGAACTTTTTTTCATGTATTGTATGTTTCTTGTATACATGTCTGTTATGTTTGCATTTTTACCCTTCAGGGTTTTACTTTTTGCATTAAGGTTAAAGTTATATAAAGTTCTCCATTAATTGAATAGTTTTTACTTTGTAGTTGCAGTAATAGCAGTTGCTGCCTCTCAAGTCACCACACAGAAAACAACTCGAAAGAAAGGTAAACATCTTTGTAACGATTTCTCCTCAAAAATGAACCAAATAAATTCAGAGGCGGATTTAGAGGGTTTTTCAGGCCCCCCCCCCCTTTTGTGGGAAAAATTTTGTTGTTTATATAGGTAATCACTGAAACATGACTGGAGCGGGCCCCCTCTTAGGCAGTCAGCCCCCCCCCCCCTATGAAAATTTCTGGATCCGCCATTGTAAATTGTATTTGAATGACATGAACAGGAGAGCTACAGTGAGCGAAATAATGAGGCTATCTGTTGAACGTTGGACATTTTATTTAGTTATTTTAGAATGCAAAGGACACTTCAGTGAATAAAATTTTCCAGATAATCAATTATATATATTTTTTGTCCTCAATGATTGAACAATGTCATATAAGACCCACAGTATTTTTAGTTTCTACCCGATCAAATTTATACATAGGATAAATGTCAAAAAAGCTAAAAATGTTTAACCCAAAAAATACGCATCTTACAGAGAGGACAAAAAAGAACAGCACGTTACCAAATTCTTCATTCATTAAATGGACCAGACATTTAGCTTTCTTTGCTATGTCGAAAAAAGAATGAAAACATATGTCAACACTATCGTGGATTAAAAGATATTTTTCATTATTACAGGTTGTAGTGGTTATGGGTTTCAGATATGGTTGAGTTGTATTACTGACCCATGTGTATTTTCTAGCTGTCCAGCATTTGGCAAGATGGCAACCTGCAGGTAATGTTCGTTAAATCATTAATATGTACGAGTAGGAAAAACTTTCAAGTCTTCTTTATTTCAATTATTTTGCTTTGTTACCGATATGTATATTTGTATATTTAAGTTCTTAAAGTCTAAAATGAAATATGCATGTTTTTAATTAAAAGAACACTTTGATTTTATTTTTCAGTCTTCTTTAGTACCCCTTCATTTCAACACTTTTGCTTTGTTAACGATATATATAAAAATAAGGAGATGTTGTGTGATTGCCAATGAGACAACTATCCACCAAAGTTCAAATGAAGTGGATGTAAGCAATTATAAGCAACCGTACGGCCTTCAAAAATGACAAAAACCCATACCGTAAAGTCGGCTATAAAAGGCCCCCCGACATGAAATATATGAGAAAACTAACGGCCTAATTTTTTTTACAAAATGAATTAACGAAAAATGATGTATATTTATATGTATTTCGCAAATTTAAACAAATTTATTTCACCATTTTCACAGTAAAGAAGTAACGGATGATTGTAAGCATTGTAGAGCCACATTCTCATTGAATGGAAGACGAGTTGATCATCTGTGTCATACTAATTTCGGTAAGATACTTTCATATTTGTTGATTCTATAAAGAACATTCTTTATCATTTTCTTTCATATTTTTGTTTTGATTTTAATTTTAATTCAATTTTAATTTTTTTATTTAATTTCAATTTTAATTTTATAATTTTAATTTTAGTTTTAATTTCAACTTTATAATTTTAATTTTAGTTTAAATTTAAATTTAAATTTAAATTTAAATTTAAATTTTAATTTATAAATTTTAATTTTAATTTTAATTTTAATTTTAATTTTAATTTCAATTCTAATTTAATTCTAATAATTACTTTTAATTTTAATTTTGATTTTCACTTTAATTTTGATTTTGATTTCTATTTTGATTTTGTTTTTGTTTTGATTTTAGTTTCTGTTTTGTTTTGTTTTGTATTAATACTGATAGATGATTCCCCAAGTGGGAAATCCCGACTAAATGATTTGTATTGTAGAGACGAGTTTATTTTAATGAATTAATTTACGTTATCATTTACCTGTTTAAAAAAAAACGACATTGTCATTTAATGGAATATGTCATTGAGTTACTACAAAAATGACGTCACGAATTACACGATATTTATCTCATTAATACGTACGGTTTAGGTAAAATCATAACTTATGTGCAATCGTACACAGACTGGTCTATAGACTTTTAACTTAGTTAGATAGCCATTTTAATCTGATCCCATTTATTAAGACAAGAATGAGTGTGCAGATACCAAGCGGGGATCAAAAACCATGTATCGAATAAACACACAAAACACTATGCCCAACAAGAAAAACGACAAAAAAACATCAACAGTCCATACAACAAATCACAGAAAACTAAAGATTGGGTAACACGAACCCTAACAAAAAACTCAGATCGATTCTTCGGGAAGGGTAGGCAGTTCCTACTCCACCAATGACAACCATTCTGTTCCCTCTCCGGAGAGGGTAGGCAGTTCCTGCTCCACCAGTGGCAACCGTTCTGTTCCCTAGCTTCGGGAAGGGTAGGCAGTTCCTGCTCCACCAGTGGCAACCGTTCTGTTTCCTAGCTTCGGGAAGGGTAGGCAGTTCCTGCTCCACCAGTGTCAACCGTTCTGTTTCCTATATGTTTATGTGTCTGGCGTAGCAGTACTTCACTGAATTAAGCGAAATGTCAAAATACTGCAGAACTTACTGCAAGACGAATATTTCTGAAAAGACGTTTAAAAACAATTGAGAAAAAATATGTGTGTTTTATAGAATGTCCTGAAGGGTTACCTCTTCAACGTTGTACGACTGATCCATGTGTGAGTACTGAATGTTTGGAGCCAAGATTTCAAGGAGCCAGGTGTCGGTAAGTCTTATAATCATTATATATATCTTAAGAATGTTCGCCACTCTTGTTTTTGACTTTTTGTCATTATTCGGAATCCTCTAGTTTTATCCATGAAGTGTCAATAAATAATTTCCCGCTAACCTACTGTTCTTTTCATAATTTTATTAACTATAGAGAATTCCTTTTCTGAAAATCTTATTAAATCATTGTTATATTTTCATAGTTATTGAAAGAAAGGAGTACCAAAGTTAAATGTATGAAAAATCCAGTGGGAATCATTTCCCGCCAATTTTCAATTAATCATATCTCAAAAACAAGGACACAGACCTGTCATTATTTCCTACTTTTTTAGTTCAGTTATTTATATACTATCATTCTATAACATTTTTTTAAAGCTTGTTAGGGAGCTACCATTTGATATTTAGGGGGGGGGGGGGGGGGGGCTAGGATGAAAAATTTTGTCCTGCATTTTTTTTTTATTGGTTATCTCTGTCCTGCCTTTTTATTTTCACTCTATTCGGTCCTGCCTTTTTTTTTTTAGTTCATCCTGACTTTTTGTTTACATAAATTGTCATCCTGCCTTTTTTTTTTTGCAAAGTGTCTCATCCTACCTTTTTTTTACTCAAAACTCCTCTCCTGCCTATTTTTTTCAAATTTCATCCTAGCCCCCGCCCCCCCTAAAAATCAAATGGTAGCTCCCTTATTTAGAAACAGTAGAGCGATCATCCTTAACTAAGTCATACATGTAGATAGTATATAATAGTAAACAATTTCTTATCAACTTATGTATCCACTATAAACAGAAAGATATAGTAGTAAATAATGTAAAAGAAAACCAACGGTGCTCTTTTTTAAATTATTTGCAACTTGCTACTCAGTGCGATTTAACCTTGAACTATTGTTTTTAAGAAATGAGATATGTTTTGTACTTATGACGTTATGTTTGATCTATGTACTTTGATTCAGGTAGATATGCGTAGCGTTGCGAGCCAAAGAAAAAATTATTCATTACCCCAACTTTGAATATGCCGGACTTTAGTCTGGAAAGATTGTTTTTAATTTGATATCTTTATGTTTTCAACTTTATTTTAATGGCCGATCTTTTTTAACCTCTGTTAACCTTACTTATTCAGACTTATTCAGACTTATTCAGACTTATACAGATTTATTCAGACTTATTCAGACTTATACAGATTTATTCAGATTTATTCAGACTTATTCAGACCTATTATTAGAGATAACAATAACAATGAATCCCTAACTTTGAATGAGGGTCTGGATGGGTTTTACAGAAAAAAATGGGGGGAAAGTGCAGAATAAACCAATTTGTGAAACCTGTTCTTAAATCCGGTCATATCAAATTTTACGCGTTGTGAACCTGATTAAACCGAATATTTGCCAAAACCGAACAAAATCTTAAGTCCCGAAAAGGTTTGGTTCAGACAGGTTTCACTGCACGTACCGATATATACTAATATCTTGTAACTTTGACTTTCAGAGGTTATTATTGTGGGGCATGTTTAGCAGAGTACTACGTTGATGGCAGATGGCAGCAGTGTCCAAACCCTGGTAAGAAATCTTGATCTTTATCCTTTTTACTCGATCTCATAATTCTATTTCATGCGAAAATATATATAATCGTTCATTCTCGATCTCATAATTCTATTTCATGAGAAAATAAATATTTATTCGTACATTCTATACATTCAAAAAATTTAAATGCCACAGGTTCCCGATATTCAAAGTGAGGCTGATTAAACTATTGCCATGAGATTAATTAGCTCATAAACACAATTTAAATATCAAATTACGATAAGAAAAACTCCAAAATTAACGTTATTATATCAATTCAACACATATATACTTTATTCAATGTCAAAGTTTAATCCGGTACCAAGTCATGTGAATTAATATCGATGATACGTTATGATGTGAAAATAAGTAGATGTGGTATATTTCCAATGAGACAACTCTCCACCAGAAACCAATTGACATACATGTAGGTTACCATACGGCCTTCAACAATGAGCTTAAATCATTCCGCGGGGATGCATGCATAGCAGGAGACGCTTACCCTGTCAACGCACCCGCGCCCTCGGTCATAAAACCTTATTCAGTACTCGGAGTACAAAATGTGTGCTCGAAATGCCAAATCTAGTATTTTGATTGATTAATTTCTGAGTCTGAGTACGATAATCATTCTCGAAAGTTTTAGAGGTCTCACGCCTTATGGAGTTCACGCGATTCCGTCAGTGATTAATTGATTGACTGATTGATTGATTGGTTAATTTCTGAGTCTGAGTACGATAATCATGCTCGAAAATTTTCTAGGTCTCACGCCTTATGGAGTTCACGCGATTCCCTCATGGATTGATTGATTGATGACACTTTGAATGCTATTGTGCTATTTCGTTGCGGTCAGTTTTTATTGATGAAAGAAGCCGGAGTGCCCGGAGAGAACCACTGACTTTCGGTAGGAGAGTAAACCTGCCACGTGCAGGATTCGAAATCACAACCTCAATGTTGATAGGCTAGTGATACAGTAGTTCGACTACTTAGGCCACTCGACTACCGAGGCTGTCAAGGTATATTTGTTCCGCCTAAAAAGAAGTTCCACTGGAAACTTTGTTATAAACAATGTCATAATATTTGTTCCTGTTGGAACAAATATTCAATACCATTTATTCCGTTAGGAACATTTACTGTAATATTTATTCCAGTGGAAATGTTATTCCAGAATATTGTTTCCATTTGTAACTTATATTATGAAGGAACATCTATTCGACACACTACTATTATTTAATGGACAATGGAATTTAAAGCTTAAGACTGACATCTTCATAATATTTTGTAGTAAGTAAAAAAAAAAATTTTAACACGCGTGCCGTAGACTAAATTATAGTTTTATTAGTTTTTTGAGGATTTCTAATTTTTTATTCTTAGATGTAAAACTTCAAGGAGATGCTGCATTATTGTTACCTGAGATTCAAAGAGCGATGATACAATTTCCCACAAATAATAGAAGGAGAACAGGTAGTTCCAGTCCACTAGCTCTAGGCTCATGCCCAGATGGAACACCGGAACCGGAATGCCCAACTAACGTGTGCGCACGTGCAGAGTGTCCACAATTTGCAAGTGCACAATGTGTGTAAGTATTTGAAATAAGTCATTTTCTTTGTAAAGACAATAATTGTAAATATCCCAAAATAACAGAGAAACAGTTGAATATAAAATAAATATTGAGAAATTTTCTTACTTTCACTTTTACGTTATTTAGGGAGCAACCATTAAATTTCAAGGGACGGGTGGGGGAAGGGGGGGGGGGGGGTATTATGGTTTTATGTCTGACTTAGAATTTTTTTCGCAAAGCGCGATCAATTTTATTTAGTTTTTCAACGCTATCAATCGAATTATTTTGTTCAAAATTTAACACTATAAGGTATGGGGGAAATCAAGATTCAGGATTTTTTTTTAGTCCTCTGCTTGAACAGAATATTTTTTTTTTTATCAAATTGGGGATCAGAATACTTTTTTAGGAAAAAACCAAGAATATAAATACATAACATAATGTTTGGAGTAGTAATTTCTTCTGGCGTTTTTTTTTTTCTTTGCAAAATCATCGTAACAATATTACTCTTGCTTCGTTTGATTCATGTCACTTCTAAGATACATCAGAAATAAAAGCCAGGTAAAAACCAAAACAAACATGACGTATTTATTTGAATGAACATACATTGTATGCTAATTTTTTTTTTCTTCTTTGAAACAATGATAAAAATTGTAATAAATGTTTCAGGGTAAACAAGTGCCAAGGATGTAAGGCGGAGTTCTACTTCAGGGGTCAACTAGTCAACTGTCAATCAAATAGTAAGTACGATACAACATATGTTACATGTCAGTGAAAAGTAGGTATTGAAAAACCCCGATATTTACGAATGGAAGCAAAACGGAAAATTGTTGTTGATGCTTCTTTTTAAAACTTGGGGTGTAAAAAGTAATATAACAAAAAAATCGAACTCCAAGGAAAATTCAAATCGGAAAGTCCCTTATCGAATGGCAAAATCAAAAGCTCAAGCACATCACACGAATTGAAATCAACTGTCATATTCCTGACTCGGTAGAAAAAAGGTGGATTAATCCTGGTTATTTAGAAACGCGTGACCGAAGCACATTTGTGTGAAGTGCTTCCTTCATATTAAAAATGTGCGCACGATCAACTCACTGAAATTAAAAGATTTATCAAGCTTTTGTTTGTTTTTCAATGCATTAATCTAACATTGTCACGGATAGCACGTGCTTTGTGATTACATTTTTATTTCATTTTATTTCCAATCGTAGTAAATAGAAATAACACTTTAAAAAATTTGTGCGTCTAAAGCACTTTTCTTGATTTACCTTTATTAGGAACGTTTAAACCCAAACCTACAATTACCATGTATACTTCAAGAACCACATGACCAATTTAGATTTAAAAATAAAGTCGAACCAACCTTGCGTCAACTATGCCTGACGGTATAGGAGCCGAAGAAAAACATTTAAAAAAGATATACAAGTATTAGAAATCCTTTCAGTCCTGATGATTCCTTTATGGTGTCGACCCAAGCTAGAAAATAACACTTTATAAAATTGGTGCGTCCGAAACGTTCCTTCTGTACCATCATAAGGGAGCTACCACTTGATTTTTATGGGGGGCTAGGATGAAAAATTTTGTCCTGCCTATTTATTTTTCCATCTATTCAGTCCTGCCTTTTTATTTTTTACTCTATTCGGTCCTGCCTTTTTTTATTAGTTTAACCTGACTTTTTTTTACCTAAATTGTCATCCTGCTTTTTTTTTTTTTTTGAAAAGTGTCTCATCCTGCCTTTTTTTTTTACTCAAAAACTCCTGTCCTGCCTATTTTTTTCAAATTTCATCCTAGCCCCCCCCCTCCCATAAAAATCAAATGGTAGCTCCCTACGGAACCCTCAATGTATCCAAAACATTTGAAAGCAATCAGCACGAAACGTGTTTTATTATACCTTCTTAGGTACTCAAACATTTCAGACAGCCAAATACAAATACATAATTTATATCCTGAAAACTCAAAATATGTCTGAATTAAGACAGTTAAAATCTTTGTCATTTATTTCATATTACTTCTCTTTCAGAATGTCGCCGAAATGTGTTGGAAATGCATTGTCATGATGATCCATGTAAATATGCTACATGCCCGTTATTTCCTGCTGCTGAATGCCGGTAAGTTACTTGTCCGCTATTTCCATGTAAGTTACCTGTCCGCTATTTCCATGTTAGTTACCTGTCCGTTATTTCCATGTAAGTTATTTGTCCGTTATTTCCATGTAAGTTACTTGTCCGTTATTTCCATGTAAGTTACCTGTCCGTTATTTCCTGCTGCTGAATGCAGGTAAGTTACTTGTCCGCTATTTCCATGTAAATTACCTGTCCGTTATTTCCATGTTAGTTACCTGTACGTTATTTCCATGTAAGTTACTTGTCCGTTATTTCCTGCTGCTGAATGCAGGTAAGTTACTTGTCCGCTATTTCCATGTAAATTACCTGTCCGTTATTTCCATGTTAGTTACCTGTCCGTTATTTCCATGTAAGTTACTTGTCCGTTATTTCCTGCTGCTGAATGCCGGTAAGTTACTTGTCCGCTATTTCCATGTAAGTTACCTGTCCGTTATTTCCATGTTAGTTACCTGTCCGTTATTTCCATGTAAGTTACTTATCCGTTATTTCCATGTAAATTACTTGTTCGTTATTTCCATGAAAGTTACATGTCCGTTATTTTCATGTAAGTTACTTGTCCGTTATTTCCATGGAAGTTACCTGTCCGTTATTTCCATGTAAGTTACATGTCCGTTATTTCCATGTAAGTTACTTGTCCGCTGTTTACATGTAAGTTACTTGTCCGTTATTTCCATGTTAGTTACTTTTCCGTTATTTCCATGTAAGTTACTTGTCCATTATTTCCATGTAAGTTACCTGTCCGTTATTTCCATGTAAGTTACCTGTCCGTTATTTCCATGTAAGTTACATGTCCGTTATTTCCATGTAAGTTACATGTCCGCTTTTTCCATGTAAGTTACTTAGCCGTTATTTCCTGCTGCTGAATTCAGGTAAGTTACGTGTCCGTTTATTGTTGATAAGGGTAAAAAATATAACAAAAATACAGAACTCCAATGCAAATTCAAAAAGGGGAAGTCCACAAAAACTGACAGATTCATACGCTATCGATCAACGGAAAAAGTGAAAAACAACTGCCCATATTCCTGACTTGGTACATATTTTGTGTTGATGAAATATCTATATCTGTTAAAGAGAGGCAAAAAACTTATAAGTCGAAACTCAATCGCAAAAAAAGAGAAAAAGAGCAAAAGACAAACAACAGTATACAAGCACAACATAGGAAACTAAAAACTGAGCAACACGAAACCCACCAAAACTGGGGTGATCTCAAGTGCTCTGGAAGGGTAAGCTAAAGTTAAGAAAGCTTTTCGTAGAATATGAGCATTGTAGAGCTTGACAAGTAGTACAAAACAAAATATTTTTTATGTGTTATTTTGTGTTGTGTGGTTGCTGTCTCAGTGATATATCTACCCGTTCTTCTAAACTGAATTAAAAAGTGTCGTTTGTTGTTTTCAGACCGAGTAGCTGTGGATATTGTCACCCTGAGTGGTTTCTTGGTGAAAGAGAGGTTAACTGTTTCTCCAGAATGCCCGATAATTACCGTAAGTACAATTGATGATATATGTCCATTAATGCATAGCTGAAGGTTATCCCAATCTACATGCACTTTCGTTACAGTACAATTACTTAGTAAAGGACAGCCTCTATAATCTCGTGAAAGGAGTGGTCGACCCGAGTGCGGGAGGTTCAATCACAAACCGGGTGAAACCAAAGACTACAAGACTGAAAGTTACTACCTTTTTTCTTTGAACACGCAGCATGTATGTAAACAAACAAAGCCTTGCTATTTAAGAGTCAAACAGAAATGTGTTCGGTCGCTTAACTTGTATCCCTGTAGACATTGTGTGGAATAGTACATTAAAAAATCTGACGTGTCGGTCTAGTACAAAGCAGGGTTTACATGTATATTCATATTCTTATCATATTAACATGTTCTCTCATTTTTCTCCTTACAGAATGTCCAAACGGTCTGAAACAACAGCAATGTCCAAGAAATACTTGTCGATTTAAGAGGTGTTTAACAGATGCTGACACTTTCTGCAGGTTAGTGTTCTTCGAATGCTTAGTGGTATTTTTTTTTTTTTATCTTTTTTTTTAAATTCTTCGAATCATCTAATACATACAAAATGTAAGTAAACAAGAGAAGTCTGAAACACAAAGCTTTGGCAAACAATGAGTAACTTCCGGTTATATCAAAAACAAATCTTTTTGAAAACAATGGGTAATTTCCGGTAGTCTGAAACTTTTTTAATTTTTGCAATGAAAGGTAATTTGTTAAGTGTTATAAATTGTGTTAGTGATCGTGTCCAAATTATTCGTTAATACAACCGACACTTATTTTAGAATTATATAATGATTTCTTTTATAAGGTCATGTTCGATAAATTTTATTGATGAAATTCATAAAGATTTCAAATGAAAATGAGTAGTAATTTCTTCTAACACTAGACAATAATTTATTTTCCAGAATAAATAACTGTGGAGGATGTTACGCCGAATACGTTAACACAAAAAATGAAATAGTTGATTGCGAAGGGTGGTGGACTTCATATGAAACTAAGAAGCCTAAAGAACTCACCCAAGCTGAAAATATTACAACCATTACAGCTTCTTCATCGACCGGTGGAGAAACGTCATTGACCAAATCGGATAAGGCAATTTCATTGGCTAAGAAACAGATGGAAATTGATGCCTTATTTGGAAATCTAGGACTTGAGGTTCCATCTAATTCAAAAATAGTTTCAAGTTCCGTTGATTCTAATCCAACGGGTAACAATCCATGGGAGACAACTGCAACAAAACAAAGACCAAGTCAGACACAAACAGTAGAAACTCAAAAGAATGTAAAGCAAGAACCAATCCCAATAGAAACTGTCAAACCTATTGTGATGTCATCACAAACACTTCATGCAACGAACATTAACAGAGATACAATAATAAAATCACCAAGAACTGTTCCTCAAGGGAAAAAAGAAGAAATTAATATATCGCAAAATATTGATGAAAATAAACAACAAATATCATCAAATAGATGGGAAAATGACAAAATAAAAAGTTCTCAAAGTGGACCAAAACCCGTGACTAGAAATTCCAGAATTAGAGAACCGCCAAAACCCTTGACTAGAAATGCCGGAAACAGACAACTGTCAAAACCCTTGACTAGAAATGCCGGAAACAGAGAACCGTCAAAATCTTTGACGAGTAATGCCGAGAACAGAGAACCGTCACAAATGGATTTGTTCAGATCAATTGCTATTCCTCTTGACTCTCTAAACAAAGGTTCTAATTTTAGACCAGGGGTACCTATAGGAGGATTCAGATTTACACGGCGATGAAAGGTATGTTGACTTTTGTTTGCTATTAATTTATAAACACATGTAACATTTAAATGAAAAATAAACATATTTAAACCGTTTCACATTTAATTCCTCAAATACAGAATTTGACAAAAATGAAATTTTATCACCTGATTACGATTATTAATTTTCAATTAGCATTTAAATTATTTTAGTCAACACCATTATATTCTTTTATCTCTGACTTTGGAACCTAATCGCATGAAACCCGCTGAAGAGATAAGTACTTTCTTGCTGTTTTGTTTATTCCTACCTAAATGCGTCTTCTGATATTCTTCTTTTCGAAAAAAGGGGGATGGCAAATCCGTTCTCAGAAACGTGGTTCAACTCGCTCTCACTTAATTCATGGAGTTGTGTCTCAATAATTAATATACGTCTTTTTTTTAATTTCAGAACTGGAATATAACAATATTTATTCTACAAACCAAGAAATCCAAAGATTCTGTTTAATGTTGTCCTACAGTCTTAGGTTATGTTAAATGTTGTTTCGACCGTTTTGTACTTCAGTCTTATGCTATGTTGTATGTCATTTCGATAAGTTTGACATCTGTTTTGTGTTTATGTACAATAATTGGACAGTTCTAGATCACATCATTAGAAACTGCTAGATCAAAATGTGCACAAAAATCACGGGATCCGTATAGAAAATCTCAAATTTATATTGTATGCATATGTATTATTTTATGAGCTACTTACAACATTATTAAGACCTATTGCATTATTTGGATTTTTATGATCCGGTAGTCACATAGTTAGCTGGACTTACGGACGTTCGCTACACTTGATTTTAACTTTTTGTCAGATATTCGGAATCCTCTAGTTTTATCCATGTAGTGCCTATACAATGTTTTCTTTTCATAATTTTATTACATATAGTTTAAAAAGACATTTTTGAAAATCTTATAAAATCCTTGTCATTTTTTTATTTTTATTTTTTTGAAAGAAAAAAGGTGCTAATGTTAAAAGTATAAAAAAGTTAAAGAGAATCATTTCTCGCCAAATTTTCAATTTATTATATCTCGAAAACAGGGACACGGTTCTGTCATTTTTTGTTTCTTCTTTTTAAGTTCTGTTATGTTCTATACTATTAATTCATAACAGTCTTTTAAAAAGCTTGCTATTTTTAAACAGCGGAGCGAACATCCTTAACAAGTCCACCTTTTTTATCACATAAAAAATAACATTTAAAAATGATTTAAAATATGCAAATAAGCAAACAAAAACTATGGTTCAACAATTTTGTCCTTTGGTGATGTCCGATAAACTGTAAGGGTTAAGTTATATATAACCTTTGTAGTTGTTACACTGTATACGTTGTCTCATTTTTCACGTTTATTTGTAAATAAAAACAATACAATAATGTTTTCTATATGTTGATGTTGGTAGTTTGCTGCACGAAAATCGCTAAGTTTGAAGCTTAACAAGAAGATACTAAGGGAGACCAAACATCATAAATCGAATGAAAGTTAAAAAAAAAAAACAGAAGAGCGACAACAGACAAAAAAGAATACACAAATCACTCCATAAAAAAAAAAAAAAAAAAGATTTATCAACACTTACATGACTTACCCCAAAACTACAAGTCATATATAGATTAGATCGTTGGAATTCCATTATATTGCAACATTGTGAGAGCAAATCATACAGACTTAAAACCTGTTGTTCAGTGGTTGTCGTTTGTTGATGTGGTTCTTAAGTGTTTCTCGTTTTTTATATAGATTAGACCGTTAGTTTTCCCGTTTGAATGGTTTTACACTAGTCATTTTTGGGGCCCTTTATACATTTTTTTTTTGTAGCTTGCTGTTGGGTGTGAGCCAAGGCTCCGTGTTGAAGGTGACTTATAATTGTTAACTTTTTACACATTGTGACTTGGATGGAGAGTTGTCTCATTGGCACTCATAACACATCATCTTATTTATATAGAGAGTAGGTAGATCGTATGTGCACAGGGATAGTCAGCAGTTCCTGCTCCATAATAAACACCGTCATGCTACTCATGTTACATTGTCAATACACTGACGAGTTCTATCCGGTGTCATTATATAAAGTCTTCCATAAACTTAAAACACTTCAAATTCAGAAATCCTCAGTACTATCCTATAATATGATAAAAGAAGATTTCTAGGTACAAAATGTGAGTTTTTTGTTTATTATTGAAGAAATTACATGTCAATACATTCCGGAATTCAAATTGTCGGCTTCCTTAGTTACAGACAGGGATATAGAAAATTTTACGCTTATTGTCATCCAATCAGAACCATTGATATAAAATAATTGCATTAGAATTCCGGTTTTTTGTATCCTTTGTTTTCTATTATGATACGCCTCAAATGAAACAACAGCCGTCTATATATGCCAGGGGTTAAAAAAATTTGTTACAGCTCACGAGCCCAGGACTTATTGGTAGCAGGATTTTACTAGCCCTGTTGAAAGAGCTGCATGCTAGCCCATCAAAACTGACCTGCTAGCCCGAGTATACCTTTCAAATTTAGAGTGGGTGTCCCTTGTTTTGAATGCGGCATTATACACGGTATTTGATAAAATAAATCAAATAAATTTTTGTTTTATTAATTATAACAAGGATATCTAGACATCTTTTTGGATATCCTTTGTACTATGGGTTGTTAAATATATTCGGGCACAGAAAACATGTTCATTGATATTGTCATATTAAACCAGTGGTTCAATACGTATATTTGTTGTTCCCACATACAAAGCAGACTTTTTATCAGCGAGATCGGGAAAATAACGGCAATATTCACAAAACATCATCTCTTGTTTATCATCAGTAACAGTCGACCTTGCCCATGGGGAATCTTTCTGTCCATGACACTATAAATGTTTTTTTCCGCTTTTCCTGGTCGTATTTGGCATTTTTTGGGATAAATTTTCAGCCTCATTACCCCCTTCATCTACCGTTTTTCGTTTTAAAACTGACAAAGTTCCTGTGGTGGCCGTACTAAAATGTTTAGAAATAATTTGTGCATGGTTTCAAGCTCAAATTAACAGCTGTCCGACAAGACAGGTCAATATCGATCATTACATCATACACCCAAGTACCATTAATTGAAAATCTCGGCATAAGCAATGTACAATACCCCCTGTACTGAGAAATTGATATTGAAAGTACGTGAATTGCGATCAATACATGATACCGGTCCACCCAGAGTTAGTTGTTCTATTTTTAAAACATGTACAAAATCGGTTCAAATTCTTGGAATCCCGGATGACGTACGTAATTAATCTGATTGGCTAAGATAGAATAGTGATGAGGGGATTTTCCACTTCGTACTTTGGAAATGCCAAGAATTGTTTGTTACTAGTCCGTCGGGCATATTCGGTTACAAGTTTTAATTGCCCGAAGTGTAAAAGTCTAGTCCCGGGCGTCGGGCTAGTGGATTTTTTAACCCCTGATATGCTCTCTTATTTTATAATAAAAAGATAAAAAAAAAGATAAATTAACAAATATGAAAATAACGCAAAAATACTTTCAAAATATAAATGTTAATTGTGAAACCTACTACCGTGTTCACACTATGAAATCTTATCCGGGTCGAACCCGGAATAGTTAACCCGAATTAATTACCCTAGTTCACACTTAATAAGAATTAACCCACTTTAAGATTTTCCTTTTCAACAAAGAATGCACCAAAATTGTAACCTGCATATTTTCACTGTACTTATTTACATTCTTTGCATCACAGTGGTACTATTTCAAAGTCTAAAATTCTTTTCCGCACTCCTGGTCGCTTCCATATCATGTTTCAGAATAACGTGACAATTCCAAAATTCCAACGAGTAACCATTTTGCCAAAAAAAGAATTGAAATGTTATAGCTTTTCTTATAAATGGAAATCTTATAGCTTTTCTTAGGAATGGAAATCTTACAGCTTTTTCTTAGGATTGGAAATCAACAGGTCCAGTGACATGTAAAATTTACGGAAAATGCTTGCTACGTCCACAAAAAGTCAACTTTTAAAATAAGCACTTAAAATATGTCACAAGCATCTATTTCTTGTAGAAAAGGACATAGCATGTACTATCGTCAAAATATTCTGAGAAAGTGAAGAAATCAAAACAAAAAATCAGTAAATCGATATGTCGTATGTTAAAACTTTAAGCAGGTGTGAAATTTAGAAATTTTTGATCGTTTGGAAGTCTGCTCTAACCCAATTTTCCCATGATTCAGTACTAGTATGATATTCAAATTGTTTTGTGAACCTTTGTAGTAAATAAGCCCGAGATACATCTATAAAATAAACACAGGGCGGAAATTTGTGCCTGTTTCTTAAATTAACGAAGGTGACAAAAGCTGTCAAAATAGGTGCAATTTGAATTGATTTGACTATCATGCAAATGAAATTAATTATCCATTTTAACATGATAATTTTTAAAAAAAACTTCCAAAATAGCTAATTTGTTTACTCCTACGTTACACGGATATTACTTTATCTCCGAAAATAGATAGCTAAATTCTTGAATTCTCTTCCTTTTGTTCCGTGTTAGACCGCAATTTTTGTCGCTAACAACTGATTCTGGTGGTTTCGCCCATGATCTGACGTTTGTAATTTTCGAATGACGTAAGCAAAACGTTAAATCACAAAAATACTGAACTCCGAGGAAAATTCAAAACGGAAAGTCCTTAATTAAATGGCAAAATCAAAAGCACAAACACATCAAACGAATGGACAACAACTGTCATATTCCTGACTTGGTACAGGCATTTTCTTATGTAGAAAATGGTGGATTGAACCTGGTTTTATAGCGCTAAACCTCTCACTTATACGACAGTCGCATCAAATTCCATTATATTGACAACGATGCGTGAACAAAATGTCACAAATAGGGGTACAACAACAACACGAACCCCACCAGAAGCTGGGGGTGATTTCAAGTGTTCCGGAATGGTAAGCAGATCCTTCTCCGCATGTGGCACCCGTCGTGTTGCTCATGTTATTACAAAGCCGGTAAATAGTCTAATTCGGTAGGTCACATTCGTGAAAAGGGAACGGGGTTGTAGTTACGACATAAGGAACATATATAACGGATATTCCATAACGGTCAACCAACTCGTGATGGCGTTCGTAAAATTTACGAATTGATGATTTCAACTTCACCATTTGGAACTCTTGGTCAAACGTCATGTGTCACCACTGCAACAACCTATTAACTTCACTTTACGTTCACATATAGTAGATGAGGTAATTAACCTGGGTTCGCCCAACATTAACTCCACCTAAAACGATGGGTAATTTTAATCCGGATTTGCCCCGGGTTAAGGTGTTCACACTGCCAAAATTTAACCCGGATTAACTAATTCGGGTCAAATCCGGATTAAAAAGGCATAGTATGAACGGGGTATAAGTCTTTTATTGTTCTAAGATAAATCTACTCCGATGATAGGGATGTATAGGAATTTTACAGCTTGTTATACTAACCTGTAATGCTGCAATGGTCAACTATAGAATAGGGAGATGTGGTAAGATTGCCAATGAGACAACTATCAACCAGAGAAAAAAATGACGTACATGTAAGCAAGTGGGTCGCCTTACGGCTGTCAACAATGAGCGAAACCCCTACCACATAACAAGCTACAAAAGACATGTTTTTGGAGCATAAAGAAACAAAATTTAAAAGCTTTGGTATCAAACTTAATACTTTTACAACGGTAAATAATATGCGAGAGATATGTAGACAAAATTGTAATATCAGTTACTATACATGCATACCAAGTTTCTGTATTAAATATGTGTAACATCTCAAAAAATGAAAGCCATATTATAGGTGAATCCCTTGCTGTCTCTTTTAGAATCAAACATAAAAAGATATCAATGCTAACTTCAGAATTCAACAATGAGCAAAATTGCTACATGTACCTTTCTGTTGTCTTCAAAGCAGCCATTGATGTCAACGATTATAATAACACAAAGAGAGAAACCAAATTATAGGTAAATCACTTCTTCTCTCCTATAAAATAAAAAATACAAAGATATCGTTGCTATACATGTATAAACTTCAGAATCCAGAAAACTTGGCTATAATACTATGCAGTCCTTCTCAACCTCGTATATTATGTGTTGCTTTTCGAACGGGTTTTCGTGTATAAACGGCAATTTGCGATATACTACAATTTCACAAAAAGACATCTAGAGGTCAACATACGGGTTTTAAACACTAGAGAGATGTATAAATAATATGCAAAGCTTAAAAATGGACGCGGTTAAAAAAGTCAATAAGCACATATGGACGATGGTAATATAGTTTACGCTTATTTACTGGCTATGAGGACAATAACAAATTAGTGTCTCCCGAGATACTAACTATTTCCCGACGCGAAGCTCCCTTTAAAAACTCCTTGACTAAC